GCCTTATATTTACACACCAAATTGATACACATTTCCTTCACCTTTGAAGGATTATTTGAGAACCCTTATTGTTCTCCTTTTTATAATTACCATAATGATGACTGTTATTATTTGATCTTTTGGCACGCCCACGTTCATTAGTCAACCACTTGTCTTTATTTAGACTTATTATGCACAGCTATCACATTCACTTCAAGAATGGAGCAAATCAAGTGGGACAAGCTTCATGCCTTTTCATGAAAAATACATTATTTTCTTTAGTCATCATTATATCATCAATATGGTGCATTGGGACTCAAACCCAATGCCTTACCCATATAAAGACATGTTAGGCCATAACGAGTTGGGACTCGAACCCAACTTTTACAATCATGGATCATCAGGATTCAAAACCCGATGTCTTATCCTCATGGTGCGTTGGGACTTGAACCCACCGTCTTATCCTTATATAATGTTTATCACAAATGGTCTGATTCACATCAGGAATGGAATATAATTTTATGTAGCCACAGAGTAAAATCTATCATAAAAATAAGCAAAATAGAAATGATAAGAACTATTATCAATAAAAATATGATAGAGTACAAACTCGTGTACTAGTATCCTACATATAAACATGCCAATAAGAGAGTCACCATGTAGCGTTATTACTATGTGATGTATTAATGCAAACTAATGCATGATGATTAAATAAAATACACACAAGAATTGAAACACATAACTAAATATACTTAACTTAAAAAAACAAATAATCTTAAGTAATAACTATTGCTAGCATATTCTGTTTTAATACAGATGATGTCAAAATAGGCTAGTAAAACATAATGATATCACTTTGTCAATTATCAGCATAAAAATGTTGCATCTAATTAGATTAGGTCATCGATCTTAAAAGTCCTCGTTAATACATAACATGACCAGAATGCTTTTTAATGTTTCACAAAGATCTTTTAATATCATAGAAAATCAATGATAGCATGATGTTATAATTGTATAAGATCAATTTTAGAACTAGGAACAAAGGTAGTGGACATTTACAGCCATACGAGCATGAAAACTTAAAATCAAAGCTTAGTTTTTTCTAAACAAAGCAACTACAAATCTTAAATTTTAACATAAGCTAAATACACAATTTATGGTATAATTTAAAAAATAATACTCCCTGGACAATAGAGGCAAACTAAACATTAATATGGCATACGTAATAATACCCATATTTCCATTGGTTCAACCAAATTGGTTCAAGGTTGTCGACCATTCATATCTTCTAGGTTGATTAAAGTTTCGTGCTGATAACGTGTTACGAAACTTAGCTCAAAGTAATAATATAAAACAAGAAGATAAACAACACTGTAGAGAGAAAGACAGAAGAGAATCTATTTCTTCCATGTATTCAAGTGTATACAATGTGATGCCCAAACCCTCTATTTATAGGATGATATAAGTAATACAAAGGGACTCCATAAACATGGTATTAACTATTGAGAACATGGGGGAAGATCATGGAGGTGTGAGAGTTACATCCATAATGGTAAGAAGTAGTGGGGGTTATCTACATAATGGAGAAGAGTAGTGGGAGTTATATTTGATTAGTGGACATCCATATAAATATGTATTTCATAACAAATTGAGATTAAATCCAAATTTCTTTTGGATTTAAATTCAAAAAGTTTTACTGCCTACAGTTGCAAAGTCAAATTCTTGTCATATATGGATCGTTTCTTCCGGATGATTTTACTCAACAATAAACTCAAGCAACGTGTTTTGATTAGTTTCCTTGTTTGAAGAAAAAAATAAACAAATTAAATATGTGATGACAATTTTATCCAATACAAAATATATTTTGAAAGGATAGAAAATATAAATAAATATAGATATAGATTCAAAGATACTTACATAGATGTAGATAGATTAATTACCGATTTTAGAGGGTTGTTAAGTAACAGATTTAGATGAAAATTAACGAGTATAATATTTAAGAACCCGTTTGGCCTGGAAGTCTTTTCACTTTTTTTTTGAAGTCAATGTTTGGCCATAAAATTAATCAAGATGAATTTTAAAATTTTTCGAAAATCATAAAAACTCGAAAAAAATTATTTTTCAAAATTTTCAGTCAGATAAATCACAAAAATTCAAAAACAACCAAAAATTATATTCATATCCAAACACAACTCTAATTTTCAAATATAATTTTCACATGAATTTTTTCACACTTTTTTCTGAAATTTTACAATTCTTATGTCGAAACACCTACTCTATAAATATTGCAGTGAAATATTTTTTTGGCAATGACGTTTAATTTGCTTTTAATGCAAATTCTGTCAATTAGAACCCAATGACAGTAGGACCAGGGAAGCAGCGAAAGAACGAAGAAGTTGCATGAACTGTGGGATCCCAAACTGGTATATCTCCAGTATTTAAGGCACCCTAAGTCCGTAATAGTTTCTGGTAAGCAGCAAACAGGGAAACCTTTGTACTTCGTTGTCCAGGTGCGTCATCATCCTTGTTTTCCCCATAGAATTCTCATGCTAATTTTGTTCTTTTTATAAAAGATAAACGAATCATAGTTTCTCCCATCTCAGATGATCATGGATATTGGCCTCAGAGAAAACCAGTAACTAATTACATATTTGCTGGAAGAACCCAATGCATCTCCTAGCTCTTTCGAACCCCTAACAGTTTGTTTGGATGGTTGTTACCTATTGTATTCTATCCTATTGTTACTTTAAATGAAACATTTGTTTTGATTATCACTTAAATTTTATTGTATCGCATTGTTAAATCCTTCGTTATGTGACGCCGAACGGTGTCACTTTATGTAACGGCCAAATTATGATCGCGTCGTTTTCTTATTTTTTTTCTCTCATATTGCACTTCCTTATAATTAAATAATTCTATTTTACTCTTATCCTTATCATTTTATATAATAATTCTATCATGTACCTACTTTTTTTTTTGTAATATTATAAGTTTGTTATTCATATTACTAGTGCATGACATCTTGAAATGACGACAAACGATACAATCTGTTCGAATATTGTGTGTATCAAAATAATATAATATAATGCAATCTAAGTTGCTCGGACACGGGTGCGGGTTTCCGACATGGGTGCGGATCTAGAGCTCGGATCCTTCAAGATGTTCTAAGATTCGGGGATACGGGTCCAAGTATGGATAAGGGTGCAAGGATCCTGCTAAAAATAATTCAAAAAAAAAGAAAAATATAAAAATATCTTTAAATTATGAGAAATTTTATGGAATACTTGCGTATAGCTTGGTAAAGTATGAATTCTTTTTATTCTCAAGTTGTAGATAAGTAAAGGATTGATTTCCTCGATAAGTTATGTTATTTTCTTCAAATTTACACCAGTTTTGGTTCAGATTTCGAGAATCAAATTGTATCTCGTCTTTAATTTTTCCGTCCGTCGTGGTCAAAGTACCCAAAATTATTTGACCACATCCGGTACGGATCTTAGACCCACACCCATACTAGTGTCGTGTCGACACAAGTGCGGCACCTAAATTGCCGTGTCGGAGCAACTTAGAATACAATACAATACATTACGAAACGATACGTAACAAGTGTATCCACTCTTTCCCTAACTTTTAGTTTACTATAACATCTTTCTGTACACTATAGTTTCGAAAATGTTCCAATTCCTGGCTATCCAAATATGATATACAAATGCTCCATGAACTGCTACCGTAGTCTCCTTCTTGAATCTCTTCCCATGCTTCTCCTTTATTTGTAGTATGTTGTACAGAATGTCATTATGTCGGATCTTTAGGCCACATTCCAGCTGCAGATTTCTCCTCATCTATGTTCCGCGGACTTTCTAAAATGTTGTCGTACCCGTGTTGGATCCTCCAAAGATGCACTACTTTTGGAGGATCCGAGACGTATCCGGCAATATTTTCGGAGAATCCGAGCAACATAGCTCTCTACAATCTATCCAAACGTTGTGCTCAACTGCTCATCAAAATAATACAATACAATATGATACATTATGAAACGATATGTAACAAGTGTATCCAATCTTTCCCTAACTTCGAGTTTAATCTCTTGTACTATAACATCTTTCCGTACACTATATTTTCTGAAATGTTCCAGTTCCTAGCTATCCAAATATGATATACAAATGCTCCATAAACTTCTACCATAGTCTCCTTCTTGTATCTCTTCCAATGCTTCTTCTTTATCTATAGTATGTTGTGCAGAATGTCATTATGGCTGATCTTTAGGCAACTCCAGCTGTTGATTTCTCCCCATACATGTTTAGAGCAAGGGCATTCACCAAATAAGTGTTGGGTAGTTTCATCTGCATCTTCTTCACATAAACAACAGGTGGTGTTGTCACATGCAATCCCCATTTTGCATAGTCTTTCTTTAGTCAGCAGTTTCCCTTGCACTGCTAGCCATATCCAGAATCTATGTTTTGGCATCAGAATTGAATTCCATATCAGGTTTGCTCCATCCATGACATGCCTGTTCCCTGGAGCCCCTGAATAGCTGGCGGACACAGAATATTTGCCTGTTGAGGTCAGAGTGTATTAACCATTGCTGTACCAGTTTATCCATTTTTTGTTTGATCTTATGCAGCCTTTTCCACTACCAACTACTGTCTGCAATTGGTGTACGCGTCCAAAAGTCCCCATTAGCTTTCATATATATCCCGTGGACCCATTTGGCCCAAAGCACATCCTTTTTCCATATCAGTTTTCCCACATATGCCATCCTTCCAGAGTTTACAATGCCTCACACTTACTCCCCCTTCTTCTTCGGTAGACAAATTTTGTCCCAACTCCCAAGCTACATGTGCCATATTTGTTTTTTTTCCATCTGAAGCCCCCCACAAATAGTCTCTACACTTTCCATCCACTTCTTTCAATATACTTTGTGGCGGTGTAAACACTGAACCCCAAAAGTTATGTACAGAGTATAACACTGAGTTTATAACCTGTAGATTTCCTGCATAAGATAGGTGCCCAGCTGATACTGTATGAATCTTTGCTGTGATCTTGACAATCAACTGATGACATTCCTGCTCCACTTCTTGGGGACAAAGGTAATCCTTGATATCTTATGGGAAGAGTTCCAACAGAGAATCCAATTTCTTCCAGTATTCTTATCTATGTAGCCTCATCCACTTCTGCCAGAAATATATACTTGACTTTTGTTATTCAAAAAGGGCGTAACTTTGTTATCCATGAATCATGATCTTGGCGTTTTATATTCCCATTGTCCATTGTCGTTTTCTATGTGTTTTAGTTACTTATTGGAGAAGGTACCTGTCACAGTTAGACTTAAATCACAACTATATAAGAATTGAAGGGGATCTGAATCCTTCATATTTTATGGAGACACATCATTAATGGGCATAGTGAACGAACTTTTCCCTCATGGTAACAAAATGCAGGTGAAATTATTCTTCCTACTTGCATCATATCTATCAGTTTATCGTGACACTCACTGCTGCATCCTGAACACTAAAAGCAAAGATGGTACGTGTTTTAATGCATTCAATTGAATACAATACCTTCTTTCTTAGGTTGCTTTGATCGTAGAGGTTGATACTTGATACCATTGCTTGAGATTGAGAGGTCACCTTGATTTTCATTGACTGTATCTACTTAAGCATTTTCAGCTAGAACTCGGACATTTTCGAGTGATAGCTTCTTTGATATACACTTATTAGAAGTCATTTTCCTTAGAATGTGTTTTGGTAGCTAGAAATGTAACAAAGTTCTTTCACTTAGAATTTGAATATTTGATTGATGATGTGTGTCCAATGGGGCTTTAATGACTAATACTCAATAGATAGTTGTGCACAGTGATTATGAAATACTTCCAAAAATCAATTACCAAGAATTTCGAACATCAATATAATATAGCACTGTGCGATTCTATCTCATAATTAGCAATGTTCTTTTACCTGCTAACCCTAAGCATCTGTTTCTTTTCAGGTTTAGGTTTTGATTCATCTTCTTATTTGTGGTCTTTTTTAGTCATATACTGTAACTTTATATTGTAGAAGATCTCTTATTTTCACTGAAACTCGATTTCTCCCTTTTCATTCCTTTTTTTACCCTTTATAAATTTGTATGCTGTTTGTGCAGGCTACTGTGATTGTTGCGTACGATACGAAGAAAACTGAATCTCGGTTCCTAAAGTTGTAAGTTTTTTGAGACTTATCCCCCGTACCCAGCTGCCACGTCCCTACGCCCGCAGGGAAGGCAAAACAACATTGATTCAAACTATATTTGCTCCACGACTTGTACTATTTTGTGGTTTAAACTAATACTAGTAATAATCTAAGATTTTAAGGTTTGCATTGTCTAGTATACTGCAATATCAAGATTTTGACCTCAGCACTACAGTGTTATTGCTTGGTAAGCTAGTGTTACATTACAGCCTAAAGATGCCTTGAAGTCCTCATAGTTCATAAAGAATATTGAATCCTTATTTTAATTTGAAAGAAATTAATGGCACAGATATTCTTATGCTTGCTTAGGCATCTTGGTCCTTTCACTGTTGCAAAATGATGAGAAACAAAATGAGATGCACCAGATAGGACTATTGAAAAACAAACCTGCACCAGCCAGAAAAGTAAATCTTGTTACATTGAACTAAAGCAACGCTAAAAAATGTCAGAGCTTTAGAGAGAATGAGCAGTCAGTTTGGAAGATAAGAAGTTAAAATTTCTCTCCATGACTAATTAGGTGTCACCGTATAGAGAACGAACAAATTTGCTTTTCAAATACTTTTATGCTTCCGTGATTCTGAGTGAAAGGAGAAATTAAAGGGTTAACCTTGTGAATTTAGTTGGTGCAGTTCGTATGTTTTAGAAGAGGACACTCTTAACAAACCCCAACTTTGAATGATCTAAACCCCCTTATGTAGGGTGGAATGTAACTAACGATCCTTCCTCTTTCAGGTCCGTTTTGGGACGGCCATTTATCATAGCATTTAGGGGATGCATAAGATTGAAGAAGGCTATGGAAGCTAAGCTTGCCCGTTTTAGAAGTCAGACGGTAAGTGCGGAGATATGCAGTCAGAAGACAACAAAGCAGGAAGCCACGGCGGAAAGGTAAATCGTAAACCATTAACCATGACTAGCCAGATCTCCCACTTGTTATATATGAACTAAGACTATAGTTTAAGGATTTTAATTCTACAGAGCAAAATTGCTCGAATTGTTGCCTGCCTTTTTGCAGTTGGACAATTTGGAACTGGAATTATGTACCATGCTGTTTGAGGTGCATTAAACATGAAGATACTGACATAGAAGGCACCACAGACCCGACTAAGATCTCTAGTTTTACCGAATTTAAAGTACCGAAGCCCAGGAAATGGTGGCATATTTTAAGTAAAAAACATAGAGAGGTACATCATAAATCATAATTATTCTTCTTTTTTCCAATTTTCAGTTTCAAAGTCCTTAAAATTTGGCAAAGCTTGTGCTTGGACGATAAAGTTTTGAGCTAAAAGTTCCTTTCTATTTAACATTAAGAAAGAAATTTCAGAAGGTTCTTATTTTAAATTCTAAGTGCTTTTATTTAAGTATACGGAGTCACTTTTTTGCTAGGCTTGTGGTCAAAAAGAAGTTACGAAAGAAGTTTTAAGGAGAAATTTCACTATGGAGGAGCTTGAAGAAGAAATGGCATCCGTTGGATTTGGGGGACCTAACAACCAATTCAAATTTATCATTTTGAGCTTAGTTCTCCCTCGTACCATGCCTCGGGATTTATCTAGAGAGTGAGCATTTTTATCAAATTAGATTTTTCTGTAAACTTGATGAGCTTACTATATCAAATATTTGATGGTTGTTTTAATGAATGAAGGTTAAGGCTCCAACCTATGAAAGGATTAATCATTTACGGACCACCTGGAACAGGAAAAACACTGGTTGCGAGATGCATATCGGAAATTCTCAATGCAAAATTAAAGGTTGTAATTTTAAGGAGGTCATTTATTTTTTTTATTATTATTTACTTTATTCTAATCTTTCCTTTTATCTTTTTTCTGTTAAAATAGCACGGTCTAGCCAGTTTTCGGACTGGTCATTCAAAAATAGCCAGCGTTTACCAAGTCAATGAAAAATAACCACTATTTTGGTGCAACATACACCGGTTCAAGTATACTTATGCTGGAACTCCAGCATAATATACTGGCGTATTTTCCGGGTTTTGAACAGTGTTTTCGCTCAGATTTATCTTTACATGAAAAGTGGCTAAATTTCGATTACTTTTGAAACTGAGCTATTTTTTAACGACCACTTGTAAATCTGGCTATGTTTGAATTTCTCCCCTTTTTTCTAAGTTGTGAGAGGGCCCGAGATCTTAAGATTTTTCTTAGGATCAGGTGAAAAGAATCTGAGAGATATTTTTGCTCCATCAATTAGAGATCTTGAGCAAATGGGTAAGAATATGATGTCCTCTGTGTTTTCTAGTTTTTCCTCCTAATTGTTTTTCTCTAGCTTTGAAAAGTTAGAATTGGGTTCTACAATAAGAAATCAATTGCTTATATCTTCAGTTGTTTCTGTTTCTAGCTAATGTAAATTGTGTGATCCGACTACTGTGTATTCAAGTGCATCTGTATCTCCCACTAGGCAAATCAGTGGCAGTTGTAGAGCTAATATAAGCTGTATAGCATCTCCAGATTCATTTCCATTTGCAATCGTTAAAGTGATGTTAAAGAATAATAGGTAGAAATTAAAACGAAGATGCTGCACAGGTCGCCAATTATCAAACTGAAATACATTTTTCTCAGTGATCAATCTGGTATTGAATAAAATGTTGGACAAAGACCTAAGAGCAAATTTATTTCCTGAGCCCACGGGTAGTCTCAGGGTAGAACTTTCTCATTATTAGCTTTTACTGTCTTTCAAGGTAAGATAATGATTCTTATGTTGTTTATATAGTGGATATGTTGCGTTATTTGATGATACCTATTGCTTCATTAGGTGAAGAAAGTCCTGTTCATGTAATCATTATTGAAGAAATTGATGCCATTGCAGGGGTAAGCATTTCCTAGTCGTTTAGCTTGATTTCTTTCTTTCATTCGGGTGCTTATTTCAGTGTCTAACTTAAAATTTGGCTTTTGACGTCAGAAAAGAGGTGCAAACTCGGTAACTGATAGGATAGTGAGCCAACTTTCAACATTGGTCTGCTTCAATACCTCTATGCTTTTCACCTCCACCAACTCTATGAATGACTTTGCTTCCTAAGTTATTTGTGTATGACTAACTAATGTTGGTTTGACGAGATTAGGTTGATGGCGTTAGGGAACAAACCAATCTGTTGGTTGTGGGGACAACTAGTAGGATTGAATTGATTGATGATGGCTTGTTGAGGTATACATATCTCCAATGATCTATCCCTTAATTTCATTAATATGCTATTCTATATTCTATTCCAAATAGTTTTGAAGTGGAAAGTAAAGTAGTTTGTCCGATTTACCTGGCCTCTCTGTCCCTCTATATATTCAATATATCTTAGTTGACATATCTTGGTGTGATTGTAGACCAGGGCGATTTGAACTGCGCTTGCAATTAGGTCTACCAGATGAAGATGCACGGTTGAGGATTCTACAAGTCAAAGCGAAAAGGATGCAGAGAAGGTTCTTTTTCGATGCTGACATAGACCTTTCAGCCATAGGTTAGTTCCATAGGATGTCTCATTATTTTTGTGTCCTATGATTTGATAACTATGAATATTTGAGTCTAGAGACTGAATAAACGGTTGATGTGCAGCTTCTGCGACAGAAGGACTTAACTTAGTCGATGTTGAGGGTTTGTTACAGACGGCATTGGAAAGTGCATTGTTGCGTGGTTTTCAAGGACGTCCCTTCAAGGCGGAGGATATTCAAATTAAGAAGGTGGACGTTCAAATGGCCCTGAAAGGTTTTGGCAGAGACGTTTAAATAGGTAAATCATCCTCGGGGTATATACATACATATATAGAGAGGGCAGTAAATGGAGTTTGAATAAAGATTGGTTATCACTGAAAGATCATCAAACTAAAAGTAAATGATTATTAAATGAAAGCTCTATGCAAATTGAGCTATGGGATTCGTATTCCCATCTCTAGCTGAATTTTCAACTGCAAACTACTAGCTTCCCATCTTGAATCAATTGAGTTGGATGAAATTGATGGTTTAAGAAATACATGTTGTGTGTTTAAGAAACAAATAGCAAACTAAAATTAAAGAACTAACATGATTTTTGATATTACTTAACTCTAATTCACTTGGCTCATCTGCACTTCATTTTGAAAGTGTACTCCTTTTTAGTTGATCTGTTTTTGTTATTTGTGTAGTTGGAAGATACTTTGTTTGGCTGGCACCAAGATCTCTGATTAGATTGGATAGCGCCTATAACTATAAACGCCTACATCACGAATAATATAACAGTTTTAGTACACATAAATTGTTCCTCTGTGAATAAGACACTGCAACAGCTCCTGGATTACTTTTTCAAGATGATTTTATTTCAGAATTTGCAATAGCAGCTAATATTCGAGTTTGGGGCATTAGAGCAGCCTATTTATATTACACCATATGATTAAATTCGGAGAAATGTATAATTTAGAATGTTTTAATGTGATTTTGTCTTGTTGTTACTAAGAACCAAAGACAGCCAGTAGCATTCTTCTAGTTTTTAAAATTGATAATTTGTTATCATAAGACCTCTAAAATCTGTTCTGTCTCAATATATTTATTTACAGGACTGGAGAAGTGCTACGGGCTGAAAACACAGTCATTCACTACAGTTAGAGGCTATGCAGTACTTTTATCCTTTTTTAGCTTACATTTCTTTTGGATTTTAGATTTCAAGTTTAAGTTTCAATATTCCACGACTTCATTATGTTTGAAGTTCAGATTATTGAAATATTATTGCTGCTACGTACTCAGGTTTTGTTCGCTTCCTATAATGCTTGTTAAATTGGGGAAAAACCAGGCCTTGGAAGTAAAATATTAGAATTAGGTCGTGCAAGAATAGATACAGCTATTTCTATAGCTTGCGTACAAAAAATTGAATAAAGCAAAAATAAAATCACATTAGAATTGATGGAGTAACACTCTAGATCATCTAGACTACTCTCTATTACAGTTGGAAATAGCTACGATCTCTGTTCCATCAATCAACTTAAACATGATCTCAATTGATCTTGTGTGCATTCTTATTTCAAATCACAAAACAAACCCAACACAATAAATTTTCACTAGGATTTTCCCCAAAAAGTTGTTTCTTGGCACTTTATGTATCTCATCAATTTTTCAATTCCCAGCAATAAATCTTCTGAGAAATAAATTAAAATTCATAGAAGACTATCAGAAGTGAATACTGACTAGATATACATAAACTCACCCAAAATCAAATAGATATTATTTGCAGCATTAAGAATGATGCAATTAATTGTCGTACCAACTCTTAACTAGACGGCGCATCATGGAAATGATATAGTTCTACAAGATTCCCTCTCAATTTTTTCTTCTTCTTTTCTTCTCTCAATTTCTCTTTCGATCCCATATGCCAAATGCCTCATATTTGAAAACCCTACCACGCCATGTTTCGAATCCGCTTTGCTAACTTAAATCTAGGCGTGTATAAATCGAACCCATCAAATCAAAAAGTCAAATTAAATTGATTAAAAAATTCGATTAGATTTGGTTTGATTTAGTAAAAAAATTCGAACCAAACTGACATATAAATATAATATTAATATATATTTTCTTTAAAAAAAATCTAAAAATATTTGGGATCCTCTCGTGGGATGTAATATTTAATAGAACTATGAAGTGCAATCATTTTTATTTTACTTTAAATAATGGTTTATATCACTTTCTTATCAACTGTTATTGAAATGCATCAATCATCTCTTTATTCTTCCATATTAAATCCAAGATTTCTTATATCTTTCTAGAATTTGAAATGGTATTTCGATAATTTAAAATTAAAATTTAGGCATCATATTGATTTTTATATTTAACTATTAATTTCGGTTAACCTTGAAAGCGTACATCAGCAAAAAATTATTATTAGACGACTAAAAAATAGCTATCGTGTGTTACTACCAAAATTCTCTCATAAGAACATTTTAATAGATCATTTGTTAATTTTTTTAATTTTTACTAAATATATATTTATTTATCAAAACATTATACAAAATAATATTAAAATAATATTCATGTAACAAACAAATCAGAGAAACCAAAATAAAATCAATAAAATCGATCCAATCCAAAATCGATATAATTGATTTGATTTAATTTAAATAAAAACCGAACCAACCCGGTCCATACATACCCCTACAGACCTATTTCCTTTACCCGTATTGTTCTGAATTCTCCTTCCCCAACACATTTTTGTTGATACCAAAAAATTATTCCACATTTGGCATCGATCTGATTGGCTTTATCTCCAAGAATCCAATAAATGATTTTTCTCTCTTTTACTAGGTGCAAAACTTGTAATTCATGCCTTGACGTTACATCAGCTCAATAAACACATAACATATTATATTTGTCTAATAGCAGTTTTTTGTCTCTTAATATAGTTGACTTGTGTTTATTTTTATCTTAATACATTAGTTACCTATAGTAAACAATAAAACAGTGAAAATACAAAACGTAGGCAAATACTTTTGTTCAAAGTTATAAAAACTTTTCAATACATTGGGGGTCACGAAAGAGTGGAAAATGGGTAATAGAAAATGAATACACACTTAGTAGGTGTTTGGACATTAATTCTAAAAGAAAAAAAAAATTGGAATTCACTAAAATATGAATTGAAAATGAAGTTGTGTTTAGTTATAATTTTTGCTAACATATTTGGATGTCTCTTTTTCAATATATTTTGCAACAAAAACTAGCAACCTTCCCCATTTTCAATTGAAAAACTGGTTCTCACCAGTTTTTCAAATTTGAAAATGTATTTTCAAGTGAAATTGAAAATATTGTAAGATTTGGATTGCAAACACTGTTTTCAAAAAAAAAATGAAAAAAAAAAAATTCTTGTGTCCAAACGGGCTTTTATATATGAAGACTCTTTCAAATACTAATGGAGTACTAGACTATAAGCTTTGATGGTACATAAACGAGTATTTTTCAACAGCACGTACCTTTTTTCAGTCAACACTAAGTAACCTACTTATATCGGTCAAAGTCAATATGGTCCTCTTCTCATTGGTAAATTTTTCATGTGCCTATTGACTATTGTGGTCGCTATATTGGTGGAAAAAAGATGTTACACGTGGAATGCTAATATGCTGATAAAGCAAGACGCGTGGAGCAACGGTATGGCGACAAATGGCATTCAATTAATAGAATTAAGAATGCAAGGAAGGCACGGGAGAAACACCCACGAGACAGTACAGAGAAGAGAACCGGGCCTGACAGTTGTTAAAGAAGAGGCAAGAACGGAATGAATAAAGATTAAAAAAAGGGAAGATACATGAACCAGAAGTAAATAAGGAACGAAAATCGGAGCAGTTAATAAGGCATTTATAGCTATATATATATATATATATATATATATATATATATATATATATATATATATATATATATATATATATATATATATGCAAGTTACGATTATTGTGAGTGTACATTCCTATATAAGGATACAAAATTTCATTTGTAAGGACAAGTTCCAAGTACTACTGAAATACATTGTATAATTCTCTGCTTTATCAAAGTTTTCAACCTTGATTTTAGGGATCGATTGTCGATTATTTCTTATTTCTCTTTGTTAATTTTCTCTATAATTTATACCATTTTTCAAATAGATTGTTGTGGAAGTGAAGCAAACTTGGTTATCAGTAACCCGTTTTCTTCTAAATATAGACTTTGACTGAAAATTCTATTTTTTGGTTAAATAAATTAGTTCCGTTACCGAGAACCTGATAATCTTTTCACTTTCTAAATTCTTCTTTCTGACAACGAACTATGTCAACTGTTAACGAAAATAACCAGCTGAACCCACAAGAGGGAGCAACTCCACCACTCCTCTCTCCGCAAGGATCTTCTCAACAGTCCCATGAGGGATCACCTAAAAGATCTACGTCACATGTGAATGATCAACAAGGGGACGAACAAACCGTCGAACAAGACGCTCTAAAACAATTGATTGCAGAACATGTGAAAAGTGCTCTTCAAGCCTTTGTCAGGGGATTGCCAACTGCGCCACAAACTCCTCCACCGGTCAATACCGCAACCCTAGAAAACCCACGTTCGGGGCTCGAAAATTCTAGGAGTGGAGGAATTCTCAATGAATCTCGTGATGGAAAGTCGGGTACACCAAATAATTCTGATTTACAAAATTTGGTACTAACTTTGCAGAAACAGTTGAAAGAGCAAAATGATCGCATATAGCAAATACCTGGCGTACCGCCCGTGATCAAAGGGGTAGATGTTGATAAATATTCACAACAGCCCTGGAAGCCAAGTGCAACACCTTTGCCGATTCTTAAAAAGTTTAAAATGACAGATATTCCAAAATATGATGGAACAAATGACCCTCGAGATCATGTGACTGACAAACCGGTGTGAAGGGCAATGATTTAACCAAGCAGGAAATCGAATCAGTTTTGGTTAAAAAATTTGGTGTAACACTCACAAAAGGAGCATTAACATGGTATTCTCTTTTACATGAAAACTCTATTGATTCTTTTGCTGATCTTGCAGATTCATTCATAAAAGCACATTCGGGAGCTCAGAAAGTTGAAAAGAGGACAGAAGACATCTTTAAGGTAAAACAAGAAAATACAGAATTACTCATGGAGTTTGTGGATAGATTACAACGGGAGGATGATGTTACCACGGGTACCTGACAATTGGGCAGCCATGGCGTTCGCAAGCAATTTGGACGAGAAAAGTTCAGAAGCCGCGAGGAGGCTAAAGGAAAGTTTGCGAGGATTTCCAGCAATAACTTGGAATGATGTATACAACAGGTGCAATACAAAGCAACGGATAGAAGAAGATACGGTTACTCAGCCAAGGGTTTATGACAGAGCAGGATCGAGACGTTCAAAATCAGAAATAAGAAATAGAAAAAATAGGTACCAACCTTACATGGGACCTGCAGGTCGTGATTCTCGGTCCAAACAAGAAAACGCACGATATGAATCGAGATCAAGGCAAAAAGATACGAGTTTCTCATCTAGATTCAGAATGGAACGGGATGTACGAGGCAGCGACTCTAATACACATGCGAGGATCGGAAATTATAGTTTTAATGTCAGTACCTCCGAGTTAGTAGCTATCCTACGAGGTATGGGAGATAAGGTGAGGTGGCCTAAAGAAATGAGGTTAGATCTGAACAAAAGGAATCCAGATTTTTGGTGTGAATTTCGCAACGACCACAACCAGAACATCGGCTTGTAGGTTACTCCAGGGAGAAGTCGAGCATTTGTTGAAGCAAGGTTATCTAACTGACCTGTTCAGTGAGAAAGGGAGACAGACATATATGAAGAATAGACAAGAACCCCCAAAACCCCCCATCTCCAAAAAGAACAGTCAATGTAATAACCGGGGG